TGTGGGCACACATGTGCCACAGATCATGTGTGATGATCAGAGGACAATCAGGAGTGCCTGTCCTCAATCTTCCACCTTCTAGTTGTTTGATGGTGCATATGCCTGGTTAGTCGATCCTTAAACTTCCTGGGAGTCTTTGCCTCCTAAATCCTCATCAGAGTTCTGGGATTACAGATGCCTGCTACTGAATCTGACTTTAGGTGGGCTCTGGCTCTGGGCTTGCCTGACTTGATTTATGAGGCCATCTCTCTAGCCCATCATACTCTTCTCTAAAGAACCTCCATTCAGTTTCCCCATCAAGTGAGACATCCCGGGGCTGGTCCGGTCCTTTTGATTCTGTTTAGAATGCAGGTCTTTCTGCTCGCTCCTGGTTTGATGAGTACACAGGTCTGGTTGCCTTCCTTCCAGGAAGACAGACATGGACAGCATTGGCAGTGACAACTAAGGAGATCAAAGTGTCTTGAAAACTGCTTGCTATCGACAGCTGAGAGCTTGACTGGACTGTGACTGGATTAGAGTCTTCAATGTAATTAGTTAGCTCTCTCACTTGCCCTACCCGGCACAGGTAGAGGCAGAGTGCAGGGTCAGAGGGAAGCGAGGGAAGGTCTCCTTTGTTACACATGGAGGATAATTTGGCTTCAGCCCTGCTTGGGCCCTCTGTGTTGCAGTCTGGGTAACTGTCCGATTCACCACAGCACAAGAAGCATTTGAATTTTTTTTTTTTTTTTTTTTTTGCTTGGCAGGGGACAGTGCAACCTGGTGTCAGGAGCCTTGATGCAGTAGTGGGACTGTACGAAAGAGTAGAGGGCAGGGAAGGGACAAAAGGGAAGGAAACTGAGGCTGGTAAGAGCCTAGCTCAACCAAGTGGGACAAGTTAAGAGCCTCAGACATGAGAGCCTTGAACCAAGTCTACTAGAGAAGAAATCCGGAGATGTTCACCTTGTATGGAGGAGGGGGAAGGTTGAGAATGGGGTACTGAGAGGGATGGGAACCATATAGATACCTCAGGAAGAAGAGCCTCAGATCCGTAGTCTTACCTTTGTTTCTTACCAACCGTCTGGTCTTGGGGAGTCATGTCACATCATTGGTATTTTTCAGTAGGATGGTTGGATTAGCTGAGTGCTAAAATCCTTTGAGGATTAGAATTCTACGAATCTGTTTGGAAATTATTAGTAAGATTTCTAATGACTTACTTAGAATTTTTATAAGCTGGGCATGGTGGTGCACATGCTCGGGGTGGTACCACCATGTGGAATGCTGAGTAGGGAGGATCACTCGAGTCTAAGAATTTCAGACCAAAGAGGGGAGCAGAGTGAGACCCTGTCTCAAAATACTACACATACATATGTATGTGTATGTATGCATAAATAGAGTGTGTATATATAATTGTGTGTATACACAAATTTAATTGTATAAATAAATAAGTAAATACGGAATTAATTTATGGGTTAAAAGCACAAATTTGGGTTAAAGTTCAATTTCCTCATCCTCAATGATTACAGTAACACCTAGTTCACAGAGTTGCTGAGATAAATTGGCTATTGCATACAAAGTGCGTAACACAGTACCTGTTCAGCAGTGAATGCTCAGGCACGTTAGCTATCATTGTTGTTGCTGTTGTTATGTGATTTACACATACCCATTTGGTCATATGACTAGTAGGAAAGCATGAGTTGAAGCATTACTTTTTCATTTTAAGGGAGAAGGTGTTTTGGGTTTACATTGTAGGAAAGGCTATAGACCATCATGGTGGTAAGGGTGAGGCAGCTGGTCTCATGTCTTCAGCAGTCAGGAGGCAGAGTCGCACTGATTCATTGCTGAATATCTAAGTGTGTTCAGCATGAAGATGTAGCATCACTCAATAAGTAGCCCTGTAGAATTCAGAGGAGCGGGCTGGGATGTGGCATAGTAGTTGAGTACTTGTTGGGCTGGTGATTTGGAGAGGGTCTCAAGGAAGGAGTGAGACCTGAGGGACAGAATATGGAGAGCCTGTTTCAGGTGAGGGGAATAGAGTGAATTGAATGAACTCATCTGGCACAAGAAACAATGCTTTGAACCCTGTAGGTGAAAATTTTTTTTCTTGATAGTTCTGGCGATGGGAAGAATGGACCAGTCAAGCCCACTAACTTGCTAGAGTTAACCTTGCAAGGTTGGGCACAGGCTCACTCCTAGCCTTGCTAGAGCTGGAGG